TCACCTATAAGATTTTGTGTCAAAATATTATAGGAATCCTATTAGAATTTGTCCAATAGGAATCCCGTGTCAAAATATTATTGGAATCCTACATGAATTTGTCCTATAGGAATCCTGGATATTTTACCTGGAGGTTCCAGCTCTTTTGGGGAAAGAGCCCATCAATCACTTACATAAATAACATTATAAACTAAAATTAGTTAAACAGGAGTATTTTGTAGTTTAACATGTACATAAATTAAATACAATTGAAAGAAAAATATAAAAAAAATAAAACTTTTACCATAAATATATTGCACAACATTTCTTGAAATGCAATGAAAATATTAAGTTGATGACAATTTGAATAAAAAAAGTAATTACCTCCACTCCACTGTCATTTTTTCTAAGTACTAGATTTTTTTCATAAAAATTATTTTATATTACCGATTAATTCCAAAAAACAAAACAGTAAACAATCTCAACCAGCAATTACAAACTTTTCAGTCAATCAAGAAATGTACACTGAAATAAAATAAAAGTTTACTGCCTTGGAATAAAATGATGTACACTCAGTGATACGCAGTATCCAGACAATTTAAAAAATACATGTATAAAAAGTATGATTACAAAAATACTGGTTATATGCATATTATGTTTCTAAAAAAAAGCACAGAGCCCTCAATTCAAATTCAATGATTTCTAATATGAGAGAGATTCTTCATTTTGGGTCAGAAGGTTCAATTTGTGATAAAGAAATACAAAATAAAATATTGTCAATGCAGTCTTCTGTGAGATATGTCATTCATAGGATTTGAGTATTGAAGAACCTGTAATACAAAAAAGAATTTGTTTCAAATGTTCATTAAAATATTAATTAAAATACTTTATTTTCACTTGCAATTAATTTTTGCAATTTTCGCTGAAGGGATAATTCCATGAAAAAAAAGTCTAGCAAATATGACTTTTTTTCTGTATTTAACACGCACTCATTAATCTTTAAATTTGTTTTTTGCCATAGAACAAAATCTGTATTTTTTATAAGCAAATTCATTACTTAATGGAGCAAATATGCTAAAACAGTAAAATTGTGTGTTCAATGTTTATGAATACTCATGAATTTCATTGATTTTATTGAATGCAATACCTCTAAATTTGGCTTTCACGAGTTGAAAAAAAAAATTACTAGTAAAGTGGTACTTTCTAAATGTAAAATTACTTAAATTAAATTAGCATTCAATTATAATTTCCCAAAATTAAAAGTTGTTAGAGAAATCAAAATTGGTTCAACATGGTAAATATTAGGATATAATATTGAAATTCACTGCTGTTATGAGTGAATTTCCCCCAGAAAAAGCCATGCACTGGGTGAATATTTACATAATTATATATGCAAATACCCCCCCCCCCCATCACCACCACCACATGCACACACAAATAAATATTTTGAAACCACAAAAGTTAAATTATGAAAAATTATCAGCAATCTTGATATATTTGTAATTGCAAATGGTTATGTACATCCCCATCAATATCACAACTGTCTTTAAACTTAAGGGATAAATGGTATACTTTTGAGGTCAACAGTCAGCTTGTTAATTAATTCAGTGTTATTAATCCTTAAGTACACAGTCACAGTACCTTTTTGTGTTTGTGTTTTCTGAAGCTAAAAAACAGATTAAAAACACCAAGATATACCATTATGTTACTCACATGTTCTCTACAAGTTTATGGTCTTCTTGGTCCAAAAACTAGGTGAAATGAAATCAGTTTCTCCATATTACAAGGTCATTGTGACAGCATGGTCCACAGTCCCTAGCACAAACAATGCGTGACTTGTAGTGCATGATGGGTAAAACACTCAGAAGGAGGCTGATGGAAGTACACCATCTGTGGTCACAGGAAGTTCAGACTCTGTGTTCAGTAACTTATCTCCCAATAATTTAAAAGTTATAAAATTTCTCAAAACGCTTTAATTATGTTTTTCTTCTAATCTGTCAATTATGAATTAAAATAAAGCTGATCCCAAGAATAATAAAATCATGGTTATTTGTTCTAAAATTACCCAAGTCTTTTTATGAAGTTTTAACAATTCAGTAAAAACTAGAGACTTTCTGTTTTTGTGTGATAAAAATATAGACATGGATATTTTTAATTTTTTACAAATGATTTTTCATCAGTATTTTTCAAAATGTGCTGACAAAACTTTTAAAAGTCTATAGAAATAATGTATACCTATCTGATTTTTTTAATCAGTTTAAAGTTTAAAGTCCTATAGGAATTGTCTAGTCCTATAGGACTTATGATCTCACAGTCCTATAGGACTGGCAGTGTAAAGTCCTATAGGAATTGGAAACTTTTGTAAGGGGATGAAAGTACCGCTGTCTGCAGATTGCATGCCGCGTTCTGAGTCGTTTTGTCATTAGAACTATGAATACAATGGCTCTGTGGAACGCTATGTGAGAGGGTTTTACTTTTATTATGCTGTGTCAAATCTCTCCCCTTCATGTTTGGTACAATCATGGAAGGTACTAACGTTAGTACCTTCCATGGTACAATGTAACAGCAGGGTTGCGTGAATCCACTTCTACCATTGGTTGACCGTCGGCATACCTTTGATGGTTCACACAACGTTTCAAAACTATTTTCTATTTTCCATCGCAGCAACGCTCAACAATATAAATCATCCTTTTGTTTTATGTGTTACTGTGAACTCTCAGTCAACTGTTTTTGTGGCTTTACGAACTCTCAATCACACGTTTTTTTCGCTATTGCGAACTCGCAACGACGCTCGCAATGCCTGTTTTACCGTACATTTACATACCTCCAAACTGGGCATATCTTTATCAGTTAAGCTTGTTCTGATGTTGGAAGTTAAGATTTATAATCACAACTGTATTATATGACCAGTACAAAAGCATACAGTAATGATTATTTAGAAATGACTAAGTCCAACTATGGAAGGTACTAATTGAAGGAGCCACAACGCTATATATGGTCAAATCATTGTGAGAGAGAAATACATGTGCAATGTTTACAGCCAAAAAGAGATGTCTGTTATGTACAATTTATCACATGTCATGTATCATGATCAAATTACACTACACATGAAGTCATCTTTGTAACATTACTGTATTTTTCCAAAATGGGTTTTAATTACTCGTGTGGAATATAGCGATTATTGTGTGGGCACATGACACATTTATCCATTTTGAAATTGATTTATCTACGATGTTTTTATATAGCAGTCAATTGAATCATCTGAAATGCAGTTGTTAAGAACTTTTACTCAATGGCTTATGTAAACCTGAAAGTTTGTTTAGTAGCCCAGTTTTGAACCTGCTCCGAGCCCAGAACATGTTCAACACAAATAGACTAGGCAGTATGAAATTTTCCATGTTCGAAAATTTAGGCACTGCAACAAATGTCATAAACATTTTGATGGTGTCTACTGAAAACTGGTTGTTCATAGCAAACAATTCTATGGGGGAATGCTTCACATTTAATTTTCATTTATTTTGAGGATCATATTTAAAATCGTCAGTTAGCAAGTCTGGCGTGCCATTAAAACTGATGCTACCTTAAGATGCTAAAAATTCATTTAAAGCCCATCCTACAGAAAGGTTCCTAGAAATCATCTGAATACCATTTGTCTCGCATGATGTCTGACACATAAAATACCACCTATACGTTAAAGGCTACCTACAAAATATATCTGATAATGTAACTTTTTCAGGTTTTCGAAAAATCAAAAGAGGCATTATTATTAAATGCAACGCCAGATGCTGTGTGTCGCCTACCAATGTCCGAACTTTGCAAAGCTGACAGTGAACAGTTGAAAATGTTGTGGAATACATATTTCAACGAACAGAAACACACATGTTTATCTAGTTTCATAAGGTCCATCACCGTCAAATTACCTGGCATTCTTGCTCAAGTAAGTACATCACCATCAGTGTGTTAGCTGTTACATAATCTGTACTAAGTATTTAGCGCATAATTTAATTGATTTTTAATGCATTGAACATATTTTTTTTAGGTCACAACACATTCAAGATTATTGCTGAAACCTGATATTGATGAGTTGGCAGTAGAAATGAAGCTTGACAAGAAATCATTACAGAGAAATACTTTATTTTTACAGTCGTTTGAGATGGAACTTCAATTTTCAAAGAGGATCCAGTAAGTTGGTGGTGGCATATATCACGGCATTAATTTATTTTAGACCTTTTGTTATCTGCTACAGCTCCAAACAGCATGCAAATTAAATGCATTGTTTCTAGACGTACCTCGCCGTGATTATGTAATTGTTTTTCCTTACCTTCAGCTCCTAACCAAAACAAATGACAACATTTGTTTTGAATTACAAGTTCATCATACTTGGTATGCTATATTTTTTTTTAAAAACATATCTTGCTCGTTGAACTGAATTGTACTTTTCCTGCAACAACATCCTTTGTTGTAGTTATACAATTAATAGAGTGTCAATCAGGGCTGAATATGTGTTTCGGTGTCAGAACTTTAAATTATTAGTATGTGGACTAAACGTAATATACCGTACGCTGTGTGCACGAGATTGCATGAGATTTACCGTAAACTGCGTGTACAAAAAGTGATATACCGTATGCTGTATGAGTGGGGGGATAACTGGTACAGGATGCAGGAAATAAAAAAGGGATTTTACATTTTTACAGGAAGTGAAATGAAAGTTTCATTTACAGTAAAAAAAATCGGTTTTTACACTTTATGATATATTTGATAAATTTAATGTGGGAAATTCTTTATACACATTTTAAACCTTGCCCATGTCTATGAATTTACGTGTTTTATTAGTCCCCGTTCAGGCGCAGCCTGAAAAGGGGACTTTATAATTCAGGTTTTGTCAAATGTCTATATTCCATTTTCCGCTCTCCGTCTCCAACATTTTCTCAGAAATTCTACAGCAGATATCAGTGAAACTTGGCAGGTTGATGAACAAGTCTCTGCCGAATATGCACGTAATTGTTTTTCCAGATCTGAAAATCCCAAGTGGGTCTTTTTCATAAAAAATTACCTCTCCCGGCAACATTGACATGCTCAGAATAAATTAATTACTGTAAAATACTTTAATTTCGCTTGCAACTTTTTTTCGTTATTTTCGAATGTTTCAGTTAAAATAAAATCCAGCGAATATATCCTTTTTCCTATATTTTACATTCAACTTGTCATAAATTCAATACAAAACACCCAGAAAAAGTCTTTTCAGCGAATGGTAATTCCAGCTGAAATAAAGTATTTTACAGTAGATTAGATCTGTGAGTAACGCTGCTGTTTTACGGCACGTGATTTCTCTAATGCGTGCAATTTATTATAGTACTGTTTATACATGTATTCTGTTCGGCTCAGTGGTCTCATTCAATAGTTACTAGAAGAACTAGTAACCTTATTTGATTTCAAGAACTTTAAGAAGGCGGCATAAGAGACGTGTTTGCAAAGGTAAGTTCTCCAGTTTCAGTAAAATTGAATGCATTGGGGTACGATTGGTGTACATTCTGTGACGTACGGATGTGAATATTATGATGATTGTCAGCTTTATATTCTTGTGAAAAGCCAAAAAAGCAAACAATTGTCTCCAATTACAAAATGTATTCGTGTTTGTATTTATTCAAAATTTTTTTAGAACATACTTTTCGTTATCAACAATTTCAACATTTCGCGATGCCTATTTTAGAACCAAATTAAGGCCTTTCACTCTTCTCTTTGTGTGACACCTAAACCAGAGATTTTATAAGTACATGTTATTATTATGTTTTAATTCATTATGAAAACTGACTCAATTAAATGTGATCTCATTTTTAATGGTTTTAACAGAATTATGATTAATATCGGTAATGATGTTTTCATCCAATATTAATTGTGCAATTGTTAAAATGCCTACCTACACATTTATTGTTTTTGTTTCTGTTGCCCTAAAATAGACATTTGTAAAAAAAAATGAAAAATCATGTAGCCATTTTCTGTCATTTGTTTCAACTTCTTTCAAAGTAAAACTGGCGAAGCCATGTAAGTGCCATACAACCATCAACTGTGGAAAACTTGTATGTTATTGAAAATCTTTATTTAATTAATGTAACATTTGAAATGGCGTAATGGTGCAAAATATTCTCAAGCAATTGGTCTTCTGGTGGCACTACACTGCGCATTTATGCACAGTCAGTATCCCAATTAATGTGCGATCACTAACATATGATCTCAGCTTACTAAGTGGTGATGGTTGTTGAAAATGGAAAACTGAATACAAAAATCCAGTAACATCTCAAACGAATTTCTGTCTGTTGTGAATGCATGTTTCGTTGCATCAAAAAAATTGGTTTTATGTATATGGTCATTGAATGTATCCAAAAACATGGTACCAATGATCTGAAATTTCAGGAGTGCTCGCTGAAGGTTTATCAATCTAGCTTATTGTCTTGTTCTTTTCACAAGCAGTTACTAGAATTTACACTCCAATAATTCGACCACTCAAAATACGCCTCTAATAGTTAGACCACTCGAAAAACTGGTTTTCTTCTGATAGTTCGGCCACTCCCAAAAAATGGTTATTTTTTCGTGGTCGAAATGCTAGAGGGAAACAAAACTACTGTGATTTCATAGCGATGCCTGTAGGGTCATTGTCAATTAGTTCGCATGATCAATCCAGCGTTATACATATAGCGCTGATATTGAATCACAGAGAGTAAAATCTTGTGATACTAATCTCTAGAACTGCTCAGATTGGTACATATGTCTTATGAACCCACATGTGTTCTTTCAAAGATATCTTTGACTATACTCATTTTAAACTATC